ATTATGAAAAAAATAGCTTTTGATGCATTTAACCGTAATTCTATGTCAGATGGACCAAATGGAACTCCCTCTCATCTTTTCTCCTTCACATATTGAAACACCACCATTCAGCCCACTGACTTCAATATGTTTGCCTCCCTGGGATGTGTTTGAGAATTTTCACTTCAACACCCACTCTCTGCATGGAACCTTATGGACCTTGACATTCTCATTCTGTCAGAAATCCTAAATGTGTTCAGAACATCCTGAAGCTAGTTTTGTGCCATTATTGATTTAATTTCATAGTCTGAAGCAACAGAGAAAGAATCACTGCATTTTGATGAAAGTGAATATGTAAAATCCCACTTAAGGTTACTGATGAATTCTGTTATAATAGGACATATGTTGGGGAAAAATCATCTCCATTTAAAAGGATTAGAATTTTCCTCCTCCTTCCTCCTTCCTTTATTGATGCTATGCCTTCAAGTAATTTCAGACTCTTGGCAATCCTACAGTGAACCTATCATGAGTTCTTCTTGGCAACATCTGTTCAGTGGGGGGTTGGCATTGGTTTCCTCTGAGGCTGAAAGAGTGTGACTTGCCTAAGATCACCAAGTGAGTTTCCATGGACGAGAAGGAATTTGAACCCTGAGTTTTGGAGTTCTAGTCCAATATTCAAACCACTCAATCACACTTGTTCTCATAAAACGTACACAAGTTTGTAACAGAGTTTTGCCAGAACAGTCTGAGATATACATATGTGCATACTTAGTTGAAGTGAGATTTTGGAATGAACACATCAGCCAACTTATTTTGGGGCATAAACCAGAAAATTTCACAGCCAATCCCCCCCACTCCTGAACAGTAATAAGTAAAATACTTAATAAATTAAATCACTAACTTCTTCATGACATTTAAAACTCATTGCCTAAGGCAGCTACCATAGAGACAGGTGAATTGAAAAGACTCTAGAAACTTTGCCTACCAGTTTACTCATATATAGTCTTTTGGCTGAAAATTTGGTGTTGCAGTAAAATTGCATATGCTAACAACTATTGATGATACAGGCTTCAAGATGACAAAACCTAGGTTGCACATAAAATTATTGAGGGTCTTTATTGAAATTGAGTAATTAAAGATGAGAAGAAAAGGCAACACAAATGGATCCATTTGTAATAAGAATGAAGAACAATTGTTTGTGTGTGAAGAGACTTCACTGGATTTCAAACCAAGTTTTAATAAGCTACCAAAGAAAATTTTTCATCATCATCATCATCATCACCATCATCATCATCATCATCATTTATTTAGACAGCACCATCAGTGTAAATGGTGCTTTATATGAGTGGTTTACAACTGTTAATTTGATAGTTCCCTATCAGAGAGCTCTGGTGCCACAATAAACTACAATTCCCAGGATTTCCTAGCACTGAGCCAGGGTGATTAAAACAGTCTCAAACTCGATTATTTCTTCAGTGCGTTTTGAACCACATACAATGGAACACTAGAGTTAGAGTTCAGGAAGCTGTTGTATTCCCTGTTACCATGTAGAGATGCAAGATCTGGACAATG